TGTTTGATTCCTCTGACCTCTCTATATGCATGCATCCGTAACTCCGCGATTCCAACGAATCAGCATCAAGCATTTAACGGGCCTGTCGGTATTGTTCCGACACATCCGACACCAACGCTTTCGTCCGAACCTGGACACACACAAACAAACACGAACGGCACTTTTGTATTGAATAAACTATTCCGCCACCCTTTATTACTCGGAACATGTGTTTCCTCTCCCCGACTTGTTCGATGTATCACATAGCTCTCTCTCTCTCCATATACATATTGATTATGTTGCAGATTTCTGTCGTTCACAAGTGCATGAAATTTGTTTAAATCTCTCTGGAGACACCCCCGTACATTGTTCTCATCTCTCTCTCTCTCTGTCTATCTATCTGCCTGTGCCTTGGGATGAATATGAGTCCGTCAGGTGCATAGCACACCTCTTTGGCACTCTTCATGCTACCAGTGATTCGGTATCACAGTGAACTGTGTAAGATGTATTCCCGGTTAGAAGTTCGCAATTCGGCACCAGGATCGTTCGATGATTGTGTGCTAAGGGGTCATCTAAATACAACCGCTTTCGTGTTGTCTGTGTGAAAAAGGTCAAATGTGTTCTCGTTTTCTGCAATAATGACTCCTCCCAGTTCGGATTTCTATTTCATTCAGGTCGTGTGTACGTTTCCTGTTTTTGTGAATTGATAAATGTGAGCACTGAATGTACAGAAATTCTTTTTTTTGCGAATGGTTGTGACACGTGTACAGAGAGCTATGTTTTAAAGACTCAGTGCTTGATGGCCTCAACGAAATCGAAATCAATAAGCCATACAGTAAACCAGTAGTCGTTTTCGAGGATTTACACTAGGAAACCTGGAAATTTGTGTGGGGAAATTAATTGGTTCGGAGCGCATGAAAACAAAACATTGTTTTGCAGAAACTTGGCCATTAAGAAAATAGGATCAAGATAGAATGTCGGTGTTCGATCACCGCTTTCTACGCAGCCCTGCACGAATCTGGTGGGGCAACCGGACAAACAATCCGGAGGTTGGGCGCAGAGTTTTGGGTATTCGCGGTCGCCCACTGGAGCAAATGGTCGACCTCCATAGATTACGGTGGGTTGGGACATATTTTGTCCATGTCACCAGATAGGTAGCCAAGGCAACCGATGTTCCCCGAGGCAAGTAGCGGGTGGAAAAAAACCAAGGGTGGTCGAGCTAAGACCTGGCACGAGGAAATGAAACCCCTTACCAAGAGTCTGGTGTCGTGACAAAGGTCGATGTGACTAGCCTTTCAAAACTGCAGTCATTGACTCCCTCACTTCCGGGGCGAGGGATTACTTCCTGCTGCCTTGCAGTTCGCACTTAGTTGTGCAAAGGCTAAAGGTGCGCTCTCAAAATAATTTTAAAAAAACGCCGAGTGTCTCTGGGGACTTTTTCTCATACCAAACTCCCAATGAACTTCATGATCATGTCTGGAGCCGGCTTATTCTTTCCAAGGAGCCAGCCGCAATAAAGTTTACCTTTGCGCGAGCTGAGAGAACAATCAATGACCTTGGAAATGATTCATCAACGTCGGACTTGTTTCGTGTTGGTGACGATACGGAACCCGTTGTAGATCGCGATTCATTAGAATTCGGGAGAATTATATGGCTTTCGACGAATATAACGTACGGCGCGCATCATCGTTAGTTGGATGCATACCACTCTTCACTTGTCAGGGTTTGTTTTCAGGGAACGGATATTGTCGAAGTTCCATTGACCATATATGGAGTATGATTGATAGAAGACACTGGGTAATTTATTACGTTACTTGCCCAAAAGCTGACGGAATCATTTACTTTGTGTTCTAATCTTCACCTATGGCAGTGGTGCTTTGTTTTTCAAAAGGAAAATGTATAAAACCCAAAGATGAAATAGCTGGTCAAGTACGGTTTGCTTTTGACCGGAATATGCGCTCCGCCGAAGCACGAAGGTTAGGACGCACCCTAAGCAACCTGTCCGAATCAGGCCATACACACGCTCGCAACGCCCCAGACAGCCTGAGCCCGATTGGATGATCACAGCCAATGTTTGTCCAATCGATCTCATGGACGCAATCTGATTCGTTGGTGGGTCACTGCGCCGTTCTGGCATGCGTGAATTGTTCTATATATTTGCGTATCGGCATCTAATCAAAAGAATACAATACACACTGACTGTTGTCTCGAGTTGTGATCTCTCCGCGTTAT